TCTACTTTTACAGATCTTTCTTCCAGTTGTTTCGGTATTCTTGAGAGTAAATCTGCACACGTGTTTTCCTTCCCTGCCAGATATTCTATCTAACAGTGGTAGCCACTTAACTTTTGCGCCCACTATTGGATCTTCTTCTTATTTGTCCATTCTGCCTGCAATAGGTACCGCAGAGGCTTGTGGTCTGTTTTTATAGTAAAGACCGCACCATTCAAGTAGTAGTCCAGTTTTTGGAGAGCATACATGATAGCATATGCTTCTCTTTCTATTACTGGCCATCTCTGTTGTGTCTCTGAGAGCTTATGAGAGAGAAAGTATATCGGTACCTCCTCTGGTAGGCCTGGCACTGGTCCTTCTTTATCGGGACACGGCTGGGTGAGAACTGCTCCTACACACTGCTCACTGGCATCAGTGTATAGTACCATGGGCTTGCTGAGGTCTGGGTACGTCAGCAGTGGGACGGCTGTCAACTGTTCTTTTAACGTATCAAATGCCCGTTGACAGTCTTCTGTCCACTTGAACCTAGCGTATTTCTTCGTCAGGGCTACTAGTGGTATGGCAATTCTCGAGAATGCCGGGACGAATCGTCGGTAGTAACCTATAGCTCCTATAAAGCCTCTTACTTGTCTCACTGTCTTAGGTTCTGGCATTTCCCTTATGACTTTTCACCTTATCCATGTCGGGTTTAATACCGTCTCCGTTTATAACAAAGCCCAAATATCTAGTCTCCTCCTTCAGAAACTGACACTTCAACAATTTCAGTTTTAAGCCGTGTTTTCTTAGCCTTCCCAACACTTGTTTTAGATGTAAAAATGTTGTTCTACTGTTTCTGAAAATATCAAAATATCATCTAAAATGGCAAAGCTCTCGCATCCTCCTAACACTATTGACATCAGCTGTTGGAAGATTCCCGGGGCACTAAACCGAATGGCATCACCCTGAACTGAAACAGCCCCAGGTGACACGCAAATGCGGCCTTCTCCTTGTCAGCCTCATCAGGGGCTACCTGCCAATACCAGGACCTCAAGTCCAACGTAGAGAAGTACTTCGCTTTCCATAATAATGCCAATATGTCATCTATTAGTGGCAATGTCACCGCCAACGGCTTCGATATAGAATTCAGTTTCCTAAAATCTACACAAAAACGGTGCCCGCCATCTTTCTTACCTACTATCACGATTGGAAAGCTCCAAGGGGAGATCGATCTTTCGATCATCCCAGCTTCCAACATCTCTTCTACTCCTCTTCTTCAAGGGGTCTTTTATGAATAGGTGTCCGTTAGGGTTTTAATTTCACAGGGTGGGGGGGTGATCGCCGGTGTCGATTTTCATTTTGACTGTGTGAGTCTGGCCCAATTCCTTATCTGACTGGGCCAACACATCTCGATTATCCCTCAGCAGACCTCCCACCCTGGTCCTAAATTGATCAGGTGTCAATATATCTTCGTCCACTATTCCTTCTGTTTGCTCTACGAGTTTTCCTACTTTCTCTTCGAATCTCACCCGATTCAGAGTTCGTAGGGGTAGTGCTTTTCCTATCTCTTCCCTCTCTTAACTTTTTATAGTCTTTTGGGCCTGGTTCACCATCATAATGGGAACTAATTCAGCTGCCTCCACCACCGCCTCACACAGAGTTACCTCATTTTCTTCTAGGCCCTTCCCTTCTACAGAGACCAACTGCAGGGTTCCTTTTCTTATTTTCTTCCCTGACATTAACCTACCCTTTCCCGACACCGCCGTTCGGGGTGGGGGGTAGCTTTACATCTTCCTCCACCACTATTGTTATATTTTCTTCCGGTGGGCATCCCAATGGCGTTCTCTTGCCATTCACTATCAACACAGTGGGGTTGAACTCTATCTGAGCCCTCTGGCTCCAAGCCAATCTTCTCCCAAGATTGCCTCCGTACACAGGTTGGGGGTTACGTAAAAATTTTGGGTGCTTTTTAATTTCCCAATCCTCACAGGGAACCTCGCCATCCCTTTTTATCTCCAGGGGGGGTCCATCTGCTTGCGTGACCTCTATGTCCGCTTCCTGTAACCCACTTTTCCGTTTCACCCGCCTGTATGCTTCCTCTCTCAGCAATGAAACAGACGCTCCTGTGTCTACCAGGGCTTTCATCGCCCTACCCCCTATCACTGCCCTACAGGATAGCTCCTTCTCTTGCGTCAGCGAAGAGAACACTTGGCTTTTTTTTTCTAGGTTCCCACCTTTGGGTCATCCCAGCCATAGGCGCCGGTAGCAACAAATTACTTTCATTATTCTCACGAGGGGAGTTCTGCGTTTTCTGCACCTGGGCGGTCCCGGCTGGACCCCTCCCAGTCTCTTGCGGCTGTTCCTAAGAATACAACTCCTCTTCAGGTGCCCTGGTCTCCTACAAAACCAGCACCTTCTTGCCGGACAGTTTACCGCAAAGTGGCCCACCTGACCACATATCCAACATTTTACTCTTCTTCTCTTCAACCGGGCCACCCTCTCTCTTATTCCTGGGGGACCTGCCCTCTACCGAAGTGGCTCGCCTGACCACATGTCCAAGGTTTTACTTCCTTTCTTTTTAACTGGGCCACCATCCTCTGAATTCCGGGGTGGCCCGCTGCTTTTTCCCTGGTTTTGTCTCTTGGGCTCGGCCTTTTTTATTAATGTCGGTGGGGCACCTTTTCTCAACCCGCACCACTTGGCTAGGTGTTCCTCCTTTCCACACCTAGTGCACTTATCCTGTTCGAAGTCTGGGGGCAAACCCCACTTCGTCGGACATTCCGCTGCTCTGCTGCTCAGACCAGTCCGTATCTACCCGGCGTGGGCTTATAGAACCCATGCTTTGTTGACCACGCTTTTCTATTGGGGTCCTCTTCCCATACCTCAGGCTCATCTACCTCCAGCTTGACCCTCCGATTCCACGCAGGGGGTCTTCGTCCTTCCCTCTTTCTTCCGACCTCTCGACTTAGTTCTTGCTTCTTCCCACACCTTCTTACTTTCTCCCAAATACCCTGGCACTCTTTGGCCAGTTCCACTGCTGCTGATAATATAAGCGGTCCTTCCTTCAGCACATCGTGACGAACACGCTCGTCACCGAGTGCCTCAACATACAGATCCGCCAACTGGGCCTGCATGACCGCATTATCCCTCACCACCTCTGGGAAGGCTAATGACGACAGCTTTTCCGCTCGGGCCCCCATATCTTCAGGGGTTTCGTCCCTAAGCTGCGTCAACTTTAGAAGGGCTCTCATGGCCTCTATCGCCGTCCCCTCGTCAGCGAACTCCTTGATTAATAGCTCCTCCAACCTTTCCCATGTCAAGTGGGGTTCACTTTCTAAGAGTCCTTTTACAAACTCAGACGCCCTCCCTCTCGTGGCATCATACGCCAAATATAGGGCCTCCTGGTCTGTGAGTTTATATATTACCCGGCTCTTATCTAAGATTGCCAGCCAGTTTTTGAAATCTCTTTTACTGCCGTCAAACGCCGGGACCCTCGGTCCACCCAACAATCCTCTCAGGTCAGCTGGCAATCCCTGTCTAACCCCATCTTCCTCCATGTCTATTCTATCCGATTCATAGTCCGACATATTTAAAAAGAAAAACAATCTACGCAGCAACAATCGAAATTTGGGAGATATAAAACAAAGTGTCCTACCTGACAGACGATTTTCCGCTCGCTCCTCTCAGGTTCCGGGTCGTTACACTACAGTATCTGGAACCGTATGGTTATAGCCAACCAAAGTCCTTTGGTTCCTACTCTAGTTGGTTTTGATTTGAGTCCTTGAGACGCCGTGCGTTGTCCTAGTCGAAATTTTTCAGCAACTCTTGCGGCAGCGGTTGATCCAAGGTCTTGTCCTGCTGTCACGGTACCAATTGTGACAGCTTAAATCAATCCGACTTTTACTTTGCAATAGAGACTTGTATCACATAACGAATATTCAAGTTGCGACGATTATACAAAATTTTGCAACAAATTAGGCCAAAATTTCAAACAAAAAATTAACTTTTAAATGGAAATCATCTTTTATCACGATGAAAAACGTGTCGATTAAATGAGAATGAGAATAAAATCTTTCATGACTGCCTTTGAAAATGAAATGATTTTGTCGAATTACACAGGTTTTAGCAATTATAAAAGAAAAGTGAAGTGAAAAACTTCAAAGAAAGTAACACCACGTCAACTATAAAATGAGGTCACTTGAATAATTCAATATGTGAAATATATGCAAAGAAATAATTTCTCCAGCGATTGGAAGGAGAGTAACTGACTTACGCTAAGTATAATGATATTCGTGATAATAGCAATTTCAAAACAATGATGATGTTATACTTATTCAACTATTATTTATGTTTCGATAAAAGTTCATTGCATGTTTACAAATATGTGAGAAGAGATAAAAACTGAAAATCATACAAACTTTAAGAGGAAATGAGTCGGGTTTCGTTGTCTCCAAAGAAAAGCACTGAAATGAATTCATTATAACTGGCGAGTCACACAAGCACACCAACACTTGTAGGGTAAAATAAGTATTCCGACAAAGGTTTTCCATCTTAATGTTCGACGTGATAGGAAACGAGAAAATGTGCATCAGAAGACTATCATATTAAGAAGAGGCACGTGCGTGTAATTTTAACGCGGGAATGAATGGAAGACCATGGGTTTCCCGCTTATGGGGCAGAGTGAAATAGTCACTAAAAAAAAAAAAAAAAAAAAAACAAACAAAGAAACATATGCGCACGAGAGACATCGTGTAATATATACCGACAGATTATTACAATTTATCGTGTCGCTTGTATTGTGTGAAGTTGAAAAGTCTTTTCCACAGTGCGAAAATTATAGAAAACAATATTGGATATAAAATAATGAAAATTGTTGTTTAGCTCGGTGTAGAAATTTTCGACTACTTAGATAATTTTTCCGTTGTTTGTACTCCGTAATGTATATTCGATACGAAATAAAAGTAATGAATCAATGTCTGTTTGACTGCTTGTTAAATAAAAGCTCATTTACGTGCGACGTATATCGTTTACGGCCATGTCACGTTGAACAGATCGGTTCTTGTCCAATCACCGAAGTTAGGCAACGTCGAGCCTGGTCAGTACTTAGATGGGTGACCGCTTGGGAATACCAGGTGCTGTAAGTGCTTTTTGCTTCTTTTGTGTGTGTGTGCTTTCTCTTCGAACCTTGAAATATTCAGTAATTTTCGCAGTATCTACGTCTTAGTATTCTAAGTCTTTATTTAATAACGGCCGTAAGATATATTAAAATAAACGCTAATTAAAAAAAATAATTAAGAATAGTTGTGGATCCAAATGCAGTCATGTGTCAATCAGTTATGTGCCATGCGTGATACACGCTTAGGCGATCATGTACCTTTCGATACATCATTGACGAGGCAGATTTTTTTCCCGGAGTAAGTTGCCATTTCTTTCTGCGATAGAACAGTTGCCATCCAAGGCTATAGAACCTGGTCTGTTCTGCTATTTTACCCTTAGCTTAGGTAGAAGAAGAGGATTCATACCTTTCCCAAGTGTATTAGCACGTAAGTAAATGCAATGGATTCGACTGGGATTCGAACTCGGTCCTCCGATTCCTCAATCCGAGCAGTTATTCATTACTCCACCGTAGATATTTGAAACTAAACATTTACTATTGATTACATTATTATTAGTTGTTGATTATTATTATTACGTATAAAATGAATAAATCTTGCAACTCTACATATTATTGAGAACATATAACGCTCACTTTTGATATGGAAAGGATGAAAAAATGACACTAAGCTTTTACGAATTTATTACCGTCTCTCATTGCTACAATCGAACTTTTTTTAATTGACAAAATGAAAAATCAAAATTTTCAGGTATGATGAGGGGAAGAGAGGCCCTTATTCTCACAAGTGCAATAGCTTTCCATCACACTCGATGCATTTTTTACTGAAAGGGATTTTCCTTATTAACTGCAAAAAGATGCAGTTAATTTTAGATTGGGTAATTTTAGATTGGGTAATTTGCGACTGCTTAATTTGAGATTGGATAATTTGAGACTGGGTAATTTAAGATTGGGTAATTTGAGATTAGGTAATTTGATACTCGGTAATTTGAGATTGGGTAATTTGAGATTAGGTAATTTGAGACTGGGTAATTTGAGATTGGTTTATTTTTAGATTAGGTAATTTGAGTTTGGGTAATTTGAGATTAGGTAATTTGAGACTTGGTAATTTGATATTGGGTAATTTGAGATTAGGTAATTGAGACTGGGTAATTTGAGATTGGGTAATTTGAGATTAGGTAATTTGAGACTGAGTAATTTGAGATTGGGTAATTTGAGATTAGGTAATTTGAGATTGTGTAATTTGAGATTGGGTAATTTGAGACTTGGTAATTTGAGTTTGGGTAATTTGAGACTGGGAAATTTGGGACAGATTAATTTGAGATTGGGTAATTTGAGATTAGGTAATTTGAGACTGAGTAATTTGAGATTGGGTAATTTGAGATTAGGTAATTTGAGATTGTGTAATTTGAGATTGGGTAATTTGAGACTTGGTAATTTGAGTTTGGGTAATTTGAGACTGGGAAATTTGGGACAGATTAATTTGAGATTGGGTAATTTGAAATTGTGTAAATTATTTTTGGTAAGATACAGAACTAATACTTTTCAGTATCTCATTATGAAATGGACAATTAATTTTAAGATATGTTTATTTAATTAAATGCTGCTCTGTTTTTTTTTAATATTTTCAGTATGTTCACACTTGATTGCATATCAACGTATAGATCAATGTTAGTGCTAGACTTAATTAGTCGATAAGAACCGGTGTATTGATCGTGATGTCGCCATCGGCGATCGGTTGGTAGTAATTGTGTTTGATAAGACCTCTTATCCTTACCAATCTACAGATATACAATGAACCTGTACAGTTTGTACTGAGAACTAAAAGAAAAAATTATTTTCTTCGAAATATAAACTGCATAATGTCAAAACTCTTATCTGGCATCTCAAATATTCCTCAATTGAAGTTACAGAAAAATGTATTTTCAATGATTTTTTTAAAAATTACATTCTACTGAGAGATGGCTAAAAATCTGCAAATTTAATTAAATTTAATCAATTAATTTGAAATGTAAAGGAAAAGCTTCAAGATTTTTCATTTTAAAAATTAATTTTAAACTTAGGAATTGCGTTTCTTTAGAGATGCCTACGATAAACATATAATTAATAACAAATGAACCGAGTTGGAAGTGTTCAGCGATTGCATACGTTTAAAATTAATTATCGTTCTGCAAATATTTATTCCTCCATTGAAAATGACGGCTAAACTTGCATTATGCAACATTGCTGTCTGTAGCCATAAAAAAGCAACAAATATCTGACAATATTCACTACAAAATAAGAAGTGTTATGGGGATACGGTGATAGACAGCAAACTGTGGACATTTAGAAGCGCTCTCAGTTTGCAAACAACAAACAGCATGAACGAAATTATGAATACATAAATGTAGAATGACTTGAAATGTTCAAGTCTGAGATAAGATCGTCATTGGTCAAAATGAAAACAGAAAAAAAAAGCAGCAGGACAAGATGGGATTGTAATGTAGATGCTATTCGCCTTAGACAATTTCAACATCGATAAAATTAAATATACGACAGTGGTGAAATACCTGTAGACTATAGTAACTCCATCTTCATAACTCTGCCTACGAGGTCAGGTGCGAATGATTGCGAACTCCACCTGACAATCAGATTAATGTGCCATATAATTAAACGTCACCTTTGAGAGTTAAATTAATTTAGTCCGAAAGATTTTTTTGGTTGATTTGTTTTGCGGTAGGCCAACTGTGATGTTAGGGTGAAGGTAACTCCAATTTTGAACAACAGTTTGTTCAATTCCTAGGCATTAGTGATGAGGAATTATGCTGACTTTCTTGTCTATGTAAGATTTTTATTTCATACTCACTCAACCGAAAACATGGAATTTAGCCAAAGTGTCCAAATTTACATAAACATTTTTTAAATCATTTTAGTTCATGTTGAAGACGATGGATACGGTCGATGGGCAACTGAAGTCCAGCGAGAAATGAATGACAATTTGGTGATGTGCTTTTGAAGTCTTTTTAATTTAACAGATATATTTTGATGTATTTTATGTCGTTTAAAATGTGGATTTTCTTTTTTTTAAAGAACATTTTAATTTACTGAAATATACATTTGAAAATAGACAAATACTTGAATGACCATAAAGAATGACTACTTCATTTATTTTTTTTCTATATTATAGAAGATTGATTAAAAAAAATTAAGTACTGAATCCAACATAATCGTTACTGTACCATATGTACATGCTATGAATTTTTAGATAATAAAATGTAAAAATATTAAACAGAAGATTAATAAATAATTCGTTAAGAACCATATATTCCCATTAAATTCTTTTTGAACAGATATTTTTTTGTTTTTTAAACATTGTTCACACATATGTAAATTTAATTTTAAACAAAAAAAATTGTTTCAAGGGCATAATGCCATAACGGAATTCATCATACTTCAAGTTTATTATTATTTTAAGAAACAAAGAATTTTTCTTTCTCATTGACGCCAAAATTGTTGGTATTTGAACACAAGTTTGAAGAACAAATCGATCAAATAAAATATTAAAACGAAATCGTTTTTATTTTGGTGTGGAAACAAAATTTAAAGTATCCTCCAAATAAAATGTAAAGCAAACAAAATAATAAGATCATTAAAAACTAGATTTTATACATGATACTAATTTAAACCAAAAATAAAAAAACAAAAATAAAATTAAATTATTTTAAGAATTGACAGTTTTTTTCCTCTTATTTTAACAATGTTTGAAATATGATATTTGAATAGTTTAATAAATTAATTTAACTGCGATTGAATTTAGTGAAGGAAAAATTTTCCATAAATTTTGCATTACAGAAGACTTAAGAAAACAAGAGCTTTAAGAATTTGAATAAACGGGAAAAAGAAAAGCCGACTGTTTAATTGTAACATTAAATGTTGCAATAGAATAATAATAATTTTTAAACAGAATTAAAAAAAGAAACAAATCCATATATAAATATTCATTTTTCATTTTGGATAACATTTTTAAGAACATTGTTTTCATTGAATAATTGACAAACCTGTTTGACGCAAAGACTGTATACACAGACAGGAGAGAAAGTTTCCTTGTAACAAAATGAAAATAAACATAGAAGAAAAAAAAATAAAAAAAAAAAAAGTACGTAAAAATAGAATAATAAAAAAATTTGTTTTTATATTCAACTTGTTGAAATAAATTTCATTAAATTTTACGGTTAAAATGCATATATTAAATTTTAGGCATTTTAGAACATTGTTTTATATTACAATAAAAAAAATCATCTGAAATTAATGTTTATATTTGAAATCTTTTTGTTCAAACAGGACATAGTTACAAAATAAAATTGCCCTGAATCGTAAAATAAAAATGCAATAGAACTAACACATTATTTATTTAGAAAAGCCTTTGATTTCTTTTATGAATGAAATATACTATGGATACTATTGTCTTAAGATAAAAGAATTTCAATAAAGAATGCATTTATACAAGAATTATTTTCATTTTTTAATTTTAATTAGAATTTAATTTATTAATTTTTTAAATTATTTAAAAGATGTAGACTTTGGGGCACACAGATTTGTTCTTTTGTTTTTTTTATTAGAATTTCATTTAATCACTTTAGTGTCGAGTGACAACTCTTACCTGTTTTGCTTTGTTGCAGGTGTTAAATGAGTGGGTGGAAGAATTTTGAAGTAGATGGATAGCATAAGAATTTATCTGAACGGGGACATTTATTGAATAACACGTGATACTCCATTTAAGGTCTTTACTACCATGAGAAGAACTTTCATAACATCCTGCAGGGTCAATTAAATGCAATTGACACGTGATTCAATTGATTTTGAAATATTGATTTTTGGCTGACTCGGAAATAGTTGACAAATAACAAACGTGAAGGTCATAAGAATTTGCAATTTTTTTTGTATCACAAACAAAAAATATTAAAAACTAATTCAGTTATTCTGAAAACCGTAAAATGTAAAAGAGGCAACGTATTTTCTTTGATTTATCGATCATAATAAGAATAAGAT